GTGTGTATAGTCACACCAACACAAGGACATTGTTATGGATTGAACTGTATCCCCCTAAAATAGGTACTAGAATCCTAAGCCCTGTACCTGTTGATGGGACCCTGTTTGGAAACAGGGTTTTCTTTGTTACATTAATTAGATCATACCTGAGGAGTAGGGTGGGTTCTAAACCTAATCCCTTCTGAGTTACAAAATGGCCAGAACAGATGTAGACACACACGGGGAAGACAGAGGCCACATCAGGATCGTGTGCAAGCCAAGGAACCAAGGAACGCCGGGGCTACTGCCAAGGAAATTGTTGACGTGGCTGAGACCCTGATCTGGACTGTGAGCCTCCAGGACTATGAGAAAATACAACTCTGCTGTGTAAAGCCTCCCTTCAGGGTATTTCTGACACAGCAGCACCAGGGAGCTAAGGCAGACTTGCATGCACACAGGGGCTGGGATTCAGCCAGTGGCCATTGGTACAACCACAAAAGTGTGCACAGGCAACATCCATCCTGGAGGTCAGCTCCACCTTCTGATTGCTTAGTGAGCAGGTGACCAAGTTTGGGTCCAAGATTGAAGGAAACTCTTCTGGAAGTATCTGGGAAAGGTTTCTTTAAGAAAAGGGATCCAAGGGATGATGCTCTCTGCCAATGGGTATCGTAAAGTTTGTACGCACTAGCTGGAATCACAGCAGTGGTTCTGCATCCATGAGACAGTGGAGACCAGAACCAGTACCAGCTGCTGTCCAGTTGATTCTGACTTATAGTGACCACATGTGTTATAAAGTAGAACTTCTCCATAGGGTTTTCAAGACTGTCACCTTTTGAAAGCAGATCACGAGGCCTTTCTTCCAGGTGCCTCTGGGTGGGTTCAAACTACCAACTTTGCAGTTAGCAGCTGAGCACTTACTCATTCGTGCCACCCAGGGACTCCTTGGTGGGGACTGACCTGATAAACTGTGGATGTCAGAGAGATAGATGGACAGGGACTAAGTCCTTATTCACTCTCTTGAGCCAATGACCTAGCTGACTCTGAAGACTGGCTCAGACTTCTAGTTATATAAGATGATGCTTTTTTTTCTTATTGTCAGGCTACTTGGAGTCACTTGTAGCCACACGCATTCTGTTACACAGTGTCTGGAAATTTCATAAAGCTGGTAATTCCCCTTTTTAGATGTATAATACAGAAGATAAGAAAGAATGGGCACCAGTCTACAGATATCCTTGATGCAACTTGAAATTACCTGCACTTCAAAAAGTAACTTAAAAACAAAAAAAGTTTACCACTGACAAATGGTCATATAAACGTTAATGCTAATACCATAGACTGCCAAAAGGATAAACAAATCAGTCTAAGAAGAAGTACAACCAGAATGCTCCTTAGAAGTGAGGATGGCAAAACGTCAACTTGCTGACTCTGGACATGTCATCAGAAAAGACCAATGGCTGCAAAAGGACACCATGATCGGTCAAGTAGAGGATCAGTGAAAACGACGGAGACCCTCAATGTGGCGGATTGACACAGTAGCCACAAGGATGGACTCCAGCTCACCAACGAACGTGAAGATGGCGTCGGGCTGGGCAACGTTTCATTCTGCTGAACGTAAGGTTGCCGTGACTCAGAGGTGACTCAAGGACAACTAACAACTAACAAGTATCACGTTCAAAGACTTCCTGTCTCGAAGGCTGGGAACATCACCTCTGTCCCTGGTACTACAGAGCCCTGGGATACCCTTCGACACGGTAAGGTTGATTTCTTTAATAAATGAGGCATTTGTTTTCCTTTGTAAATCATGTCAGTTTGCTTTTCAGCACCAATAACCAGACGTCACAGACAAGCGAGCTGGGTCCCAGGGAGTGGTGCCCGCTTACCGTTGAGCCACTTGGAGTTGTACTGGGCCGTGCGGAGAGGAGGCAGGACGCCTAGGCTGCGGTAGATGGCAGGGTCGCGTCCCGGGAAGTCCATGGCAGTGGCAGCATAGAGCTCCCCGCCGGCCGTGAGCAGTGCCGTGGAGTTGTGCTGGGGGCTGTAGGGGCAGCGGGCCATGCCGCTGATCTGGTCGTGGATCTCCGTCAGGTTGCTCAGCTGTGGACGAGGACCAGAGGAGAGCCCAGTCATCCCCAGGAAACCCTGTGATGGCGTCACTGGATCGCACCCACCAGCACCGCAAGTGTGCAGGACGTTCTCTGGGACTCGGGGTGAGAGACAGCCTACGCCTACAGTCTGACGCTGATGGAAACAGCAAGCTCGGCACAGTCAGAGGACCCAGCGCTCTCTCCCTCCCTGTCTCTCTCTCTGTCCTTATCTCTGTCTCTCTCTCTGTCTCTTAGCATCTCTCAGCCCCTCTGTCACTCCGTTTCTCTGTCTCTGTCTCTTTGTCTCTGACTCCCTTGTCTGTGTGTGTCTGCCTGTCCCTCTCTCTCATCCCTTTAAAATTCCTGAGCCCCATGCTCTCAGATACAAAACAGGACATAGGATTATTATACACAGCTTCAATTTATAATGCACGGGCATGGAAGACTTTCCACTTTAATAAAGAAACCAACTTCGATATCCATAGAAATATAAATCACAGAAAAGAAGTATGTGCATTCTCATCTATTTGAGTGAATAGAAATATCATAAATAACCCAGAACCACATGTTTCTGGGTAAGGATGCGCGGATATAAAGCACCATGCAGCTCTAACTTCTGAGACTGTTCTCCATTTTTCAGAAAGACCGCTTGGTGTCTTGGCATCCCCTGAGGTGAACCCAGCTTCCCAACGGGCCAATCAGTGAGCGAGCCCAGCTCTTTGGGTGGCAGGGAATTTCCACTACCTGCTCCTTCTCGCTCACCCTGAGAGGCCACAGAGCTGACGGGCAGGGCAGGTGAACTGAGAGGTGCTCACCGTTCATGTCAACATCCCAGCTTGACCATTAGATGTGCAGCCCCAGGTAAGTGACTTAAACTCCTTATGCCTCGGCATCTTCCTTTAAAAAATGAGGCCCCAAATAATAAGTACCTCGTGGGGTAGGTGTGAGGATTGAGGGATTGAATCGATATACAGCCTCAGAACAGGACTTGGAAACCAGGAGCTCTCTGAGGGCATTAACTCTGACCTCATCATGGTCTCCTTACCTCTAATGCGCTTGTTGGGTGCCGTCGAGTCAGTTCTGACTCACAGCAACCCTACAGCAACCCGGTGTGACAGAGCGGAAACGCCCCATAGGGTTTCCTAGGCCGACATCTTTACGGGAGCAGATCACCAGGTCCTCTCTCCCTCCGAGTGGCTGGTGGGTCCAGAACCGCCCATCTTTCAGTTAGCAGCGAGCGCTTAACCAGTGAGCCACCAGGGCTCCTTTCACTTCTAATAACTGAATGTTAATTAGAAAATAATGAATAGTAAAAGCCGACAATAAATTAAGGCTTTGGCAGAAGTGGTGGATCCAGAAAATTAACAGAATAATATTTCTTCATTATGTTCACGAAGGAAAACTAAATTAATATCACGAATTAGGACAATGACCTCCGCTGTGACACCACTCCACAGACATGGCATGCCAGAAACCACGCTGCCATCAAGGACAGCTCAGAGAAAGGCGAGACAGCCAGTTGTGGCTTCACTGGCATATGGCTTCATTTCTTTGTGTTTTTTTTTTTTTACATGTTTTTCTTATCCAATTTGTAGATTATAGTTTATTTTAATACTTAATAGTATTCCCACAATAAAGTCAAATACAAGATATGCAGGATTAATTTTTAGGGTCACTGCTGGGAAGAAATGCAGTACAAGATAGCACAGAAAACAGCTTTACATTTAAATATACAAGCTATAATTATTTCCACTTCTTCAGATAACTGACCGTCGCGATTAAAAATAAAACAATAAATCACGCGTTCATTCAATCTGACACGAGGTGTGTTCTGAATTACAGAGCAGCTCCCTGGTGCAGGGGGACTCAGTTTAAAGCGGCGTTTTGGGACAGGGCTCAGCCTCCCCCAGTGTTACAGGCTGTCAGGACTTCAGACGGCGCCCTACCGTGCGGGTGGTACACACGGGCGTGAAGGCGTTGGTCCCGCAGGCGAACAGCCGCTCACCACCCACCAGAAGCACTCGGATGTAGTTCTGACATTCTTCCTGAAAAATCACAAGAAACACGTTCAGGGGTTCTGAGCACAAGTGGGGTGGTGACGGATCAATACACTGTTGACTGATGGTAACTGAACATTAAACAACAAAAAAATGGTAGGCGTTGACAAACAAGCATCAACAACATTGTCAGATAAACTGACTTCCTGTGTCAGCAAATTTGCTTATGAAGGTAAATTTATGTTCATTTACACTCTCAAAGCATGTGTCTTCTTTTGACCAAAGGGGTTTTATTTTGAATTGTATCTGATAATACTGCAAACCTTAAGTTGCCTTTGGCAGGTTGTTATGGATTGAACTGTGTCCCCCAAAAATCTGTGTTGTAAATTCCAACCCCTGTACTTGCGGACGTCACTCCATTTGAAAGGAGGATCTTCTTTATTATGTCAATGAGATCAGTGTAGGGTGTGTCTTCAACCAATCACTTCTGATATCTGAAAGGAGCAGATGATGTACAGAGAAGCAGAGAGGGCAGACAGTAGATGCCGTGCCTCATGAAGAT